ATTGTGAGCTGGAAAACCTTAATGACTGTTTTAAATCAAACAAACTCTCTTTGAATATCAGTAAAACTAAGTACATTTTATTTCATCAGTAATCTAAATCCGATGACTTGCCTCTGCAACTTCCTCAGCTAATAATAAATAACAATATAGTAAACCGAGTTTATCACTTAAATCTAAGCAATAATATTTGATGAACATCTTAATTGGAAAAATCATATTACGCTAATTGAAAACAAAATTTCTAAAACTGTAGGCATTATGCATAAAACAAAACACCTACTAAGTAAAAAATGTTTAATAGGTTTATACAACTCTTTTAACCATAATATCTTTTATCCTACATAAGCTATTGTAATATTGCTTTGGCTTTCAGCATTAAAATATATATATTAAACAAAAACAAGTCAGTAGAATTATATGTAATTTGCGTAAATACACCAACTCCAAGCCGTTACTCCGGGAAATTAGAGCTTTTTATGTCTATGAATTAAGCGTGTTCCAAAATTTGTTATTCATGTTTAAATATCAAAATGACATTCTTTCAAAATTCTTTAATAACCGATTTCTAAAAAATTATCATAAATGTTTTTTTTATTTTTTTTTTTTTTAGTTCTTTATTACATTTTAAAACATAACATTAATATTTTAAAAATTTTAAAACTAAAATAAAAAAATATAAACAATTACAAATGAAAATATTTAATATATATATAAAAAGAACGGGGAAACTCGTAGAAGACCTTGAGGTCTTGTCGTCGAGTACCGCGGTAAAAAGACGTCGTTACTTTTTTACAAGTTAAATATTTTACGTAGTAAATAAAAAAGTGTTATGCAATAATAAAAGAATAATAAGATTTAAATTAAAAAAAAAATACAAAAAAATAAAAAGTTCACAAAAAATTTCTTAAAGATAATTGGACAGATAGTATAATAGCAATATAGGCTTGAAGATCGTAAATAATTGAGTTACAAATCATATCAAGAAAAATCATACATTACAAATCATATAAACCGATATAAATAATAGATAAAAAGAATTTTAAAAGGTTTAAAAGTACATTTGTATATTGTAAATTTCAAAAACTACTTCTTTCAACTTTTTTTTAAAAAACATGTAATTCCATATTCCAGAAAAATCAAAGTTGTTTAAGACAATTTTGTTCCAAAGATACAGTCCCCAAAATGATACGCAAAATTTACAACGATTAGTTTTCGAAAATGGTTGCATCAAAAAATCATCATTTCGTAGATTATATTTATTTTTTTGTTTTGTTATAAATAAACTATGAAAAGGAGACCGGGATAATTTCGTTTTACATTTGAACATAAAACAAAGAATATTATATACGTTAAGTTGATATATGTTTAAAACACTCATTTTTCTTAAGAGAGGCTTTGAATGAGTTCGTCTATCACAAGAATTAACTAAACGTGCTATATGTTTCTGATGACGATGAAGAGGCTCTAGTTTACTTTTGTTAGTACTGCCCCACGCAATATTTGCATAGTTAACATGGCAGTGAATAAGTGAATAATATAGTTGCATTAAAGTGCGCATGTTTAAATAGCTTTTTGATTTGTATAATATTCCATAACTTTTTGAAATTTTGTTGCTTAAATTTTCGATGTGTCGTCTCCACATGTAAAATTTTCATCAATATATATTTCTAAAAACTGAGTAGTTTTTACTCTTTTAACTTGAATATTATCAATGAATATAGATGGCGTTTCGTATGGTATTAGTTTTATTTTGGAAAGTGGGTGAAATAGAGTTCAGTTAGTTTTGTCAATATTTACTGAAAGTTTATTTAATTTGAACTAGTCGGAAACCTTTTTAAGTTCTAAGTTCATAATTTCAAACAATATAGTAATGTTGCTGTGCGATAAAAATAAATTTGTGTCGTTGGCAAACATTATTGTCCTCAGGCTAAATGCTTTATGAAGATCATAAACATATATAAGAAAAAAAAGAGGTCCGAGTATAGAACCTTGGGCACGCTACAAGTAATATTTAGTAACGTTTTTGGTGATTTATCGTCAATGTGTACATATCGAGCACGATTATTTAAATAACTCTTTACCATTGATGTAAATAAATAACTAGATATCTAACATCACCGTTTTTAGTGAAGCCAATTTAATGCGTTGGAAGCCATTATTATTATATCGGGCAAAATTTTTTAGCGATAACATTCATATAAAAAGATATTGGCAATTTTAAAGTCCTTATTCTTGGAATTAAAGATGATTAGAATCACAGAAGATCAATTTAGTAAACATACAGTCAATACATACATATTTGTTGGTCAAAGATTGGACATGCTAACGTTAGCATGTTAAGTTTGTTATAATAAACTAAAACAAACGGCTATTTTTATAGACACAAAAATATATATTTAAAAACATATTTGCATTTAGAACATCAAACTAAAACATCGTATAATATATTTTATTATTTTAATAAAAGTTTTGTACAATAAAATGAAATATTTATAAACCCTTGAACAATATTAATTTATTTGTTTGTTGTCTTAAACCAATTTACGACTTTCTTAGAACTTTAGTGGTATAGTCCTGGGCATATCCGAAAATTCGAATTCTAAAGTTATATTCACATATCTTTCTAACAAGCAGACTGGAATGCAAATCTTCATTTTCAGTCCACAATTCTATGTCCTGACTGTCAAGTCCTTTAAAGACTTTTTTTTTAATAATTAATTTATTAACACAGTGGATCATCTTATGCTTTATATTTTTATCTGAGGTTATTTTCGGATTTTTAAAATCTTTACCACTAATAAAGAAGTTAAATACTTTCTCACACATCTCTACAACAAAAACAACACCCCTTGATGGCAAAAACAAACCACCACGATCTTTCACATTATTTAACGCCGTGGATAGAGTACCGAAAGTCGGTACTATAAGAAAATTTTCTTATAGTACCGGAAGCGCGTCTATTGGTTGCAAAAGTCACGTGTAAAAACAAATTCCGAATTTTAAAGATTTGAATTGGAAAATATAATTTTATATTGTAAAATGTCAACTGGTTTTACTTGCAAAGATGTTTTCTTGTCTTTTGAAGATCTAAAAGCAAATATTAAAAAATATGAAGATGCTAATTTTGTGCAATTATGGATGAGAGACGCCAAGACAATTAATGCTGCTAGAAAAAGCATTCCAAAGAGAGCTAGTATTATGGCTCCACAAATTAAATACTCTTTTATAAAGTACTGCTGCATTCATGGTGGACAAAAATTTAAATATAAAGGTTTTGGAAAACGTCAAACTTCGTTAGTACTTTATTTTACTTTTTTAAAAGATTGTATTATTGTTCTCAGACAGTAACTGTTATAACTGTTTGTTCTATTTCAATCAATGAATAATTTATATTTCTGAATAAAGATCTTGCCTTCAAGTTACAAATAGTTATAAACTTATATGAATTAAACCCCTTATAATGCTAATAATATATAATAAGGATAATAATAATGGTAATGTAAGCAATGTATCCAAAAACATTGCTTTTAAAATTCTAATAAACAAAAATGATAACAATAACAACAACAGTAATAAAAATAATATTATAAACAAAACTAATTCTAGTGGTAGTGTATAATTCAAGTAAGACAGTAAAAATGAAAATCTGAAAGTTACAGAAAAGCAGTAATAAAAATAATAATATTAATCACTATAAGTGTTAGACTTCCCCAGGTTTAAACATTTTCTTTCTTTCTTATGGTTTCTTTTTTTCTTTATGTTTTTTTTTTTACTTTAAATTAAAATATTTGTTTTAAGTCTTTCTTAGATTGAGTATGGATTATTATAGATGACTTAAGAAACTAAGGCGTGTAAGATATTGCTACAAAAGTTGCGATTTCTATCTCCTCCACTGGTAAAAATTTTATTTTTTCCCAAATAGAAAGAACTCAGTTCCCATAACCTTAGCTAGTGTTCATATCTTTAGAAACGTTTTCAGGGTAATGGCATTCTCTATGTATTCTTTAGCTTTTTGTGCAATCTGATGCATGTAAGAATTGTTTTTCAAAATGTTAAAAATGAATCAATCTTAAGAATAAATACAATATTAAAGCTGTTAGTTACAGAGTTAATAACTGAAAAATAAAAAAATAGTGTTCAAATAAATCCAAAATAAATATAATGCTAGATATTATAACAGTTTAGTGACATACTCAAGGAATTATAAAGTATACTTAAATAAAAACAATTGTAAAACATTAAAACAATATACACAAAGTTATAGATTTAATAATATTTTATTATAAATAATATAATTTGTACTGTAACAGTTCAAAAATAAACAAAAAAGAAAAAAAAACTTGTTTATGTAGGTTATTAATAAAAGCAGCACACTGCAGATATATTGAACTTTTAGTAACTCAAAGTGTTTTAACATTCCTGTTGAACTCTCACTCACACTTTCTCATAAAAATCACTATGTTGATAACTCAAACCCCTTGATAACTCGAAAATTCCCTAAGTCAAACCTTTTTTTTTTGTCCCTGTGGCTGATAATATCCCAATAAGTTGAACTTTAGAAGAAAAATATTAACAAAATCTTATTAAAAATAAATATTCTTTTATTACATTAAACTTTTTTGATTTCCTTAATATCAATCAAAAAAGATATTACTTCAAAACTGAGACATAAGGAGATTTTATATTTTATGATCTATTTTGTTTTCATTTATATTTCTTTATTTCTATTTTAATTTTTATTTTTTATTCACATATTATTTTTATTTTATCTATGAATGCATCCAAGTTTGCTTGCTAAGTATTGCATAGTTAATTTTAGATTGCTTTTGATTAACTGCTATAAATGCTTCAAATCTATTGCTCTTTCCGATCTGGTCAATGTTGCAATTCTAAGTTGCTGTTATAAAAGCATTAAAACTTTTTGCTGTTGTATTACTGAAACTTTTAAAGCAAACAGTTTGTTAACATGTCAATTTTTACAATTTAGAAAAGTTAAATGAAGATTTTATTTTATTTACCATTTCAGATTGAATTAAAAAAAAACTTTTGATAACTTGAATTATTTTTACTTATCTGTAAAAGTTTGAATTGTGAAATATCCTGATAACTTGAACATTTGCTAACTTGAACTAATTTCTTGGCTTCCCTGAAGGTTTGAGTAATTGGCAGTTTACTGGATTTATTTTATAATAAATAATTTTTTTTATTTAGAAATACAAATATAATTTGTTACATAGAACTTTTTATTAGTAATACAAATACTTTTTTTTTTGCTAATTTAATTTATGAAATAAGCATCTAATTAATACATTTTTTTTGTAGGACATATAAAAAAGATTGCCCTTTCTACCTACACTTTAAGGCATCGGAGGATGGACAAGCATTAATCTTGCATAAATTGAACAATACACATAATCACGAAGTATCTGAAGTAAACTATTATTATTTATACTTAAAATATGTTTTATAATTTTTCATTATTTTACAATTTTTTATATAGACAGGAAAAATCTTATTAAAAAATCAAATTAAAAATTTGTTATTGGGAGTTTTTATGAACTTTTTGATTTGAATTATATATTGATATTTGTGGGTGTGATTGAATTATAGATGTGGCTATACAAGCTTATATATTCTTCGGTTTTTTGTAACTAAGTATGATGTTTTTGAATTTTTGCTAATTTATAAGTAAATTCTGTGAATTCCCGATATCTTGACCCCTGGATAATTTGAACTTTCAGTAACTCGTATTACTTTTGAGTTCCCCTTGAACCCTCACTAACAATCATAAAAACTGTAAATAGCTTGTTAGAATATATTATTAAAGTTTAAATAGCCTTTACAAATTGCAAAATATGTCATAAACTGTTTTTGTGCATAAATCAAAGCAAATATATTCTGAAATTAGTTGTTAACATTTCAAGAATATTTACAATAGTACAAGTACTAATATAAAGTAAATTCCTAACAAATACAATATTAACATAAACATAGCTAAAAATATTTAACAAATACAAAACATCAATTTAAACAACTATGAAGATAATAGTAGTAATAATAATATGATGTTTAATATAGTATAAATAATACTAATAATTGAAATAAAAATAAATATCAAATCAAAATAGTGAAGCTAAAATATTTATCAATAATAAGTCTAATGGTAGTTAAGTAGTTGAATATGTCTTCAGATAATATTACTATCACCTAAAAACATAATAATAACAAAATAATAATGATAGCGAGTGTTAGTAAATAAAAGGAGAATAAAAAGACAAGTATCCCAGAATTATTAAATCAAAATTTAAGCAGCATTGATTTTATATTAAAATAAGCAGAAGTATGCAAAGTTATAGATGTAATAGATAACTAGCAGCAAAGGATAGTTAACTTAAGGAGAATACTTATCTAACAAAATATTATATAAAAATTAAAAAGGCGTTTATTCAAAACTAAGACAGAATGACAGAAAATTTTATAATTTATAATGTATTATTTTTCCTTTGAGATAAAAACTTTTGATAACTTAAATTTTTTTACCTATTGACAAAGGTTTGTGTTAAAGAATGTCTCCATAACTCATACATTCACTTACTCAAACTATTTTTCTTGGTCCCTTGGAGGTTTGAGATATCAAGAGTTCACTGTATCATTAATTTTTTATGAAATATTATCTCCTGCAAATACCAACTTCTACACATCACAACCTATTTTTAATGTATTATAAAAAATAATTAATGTTTTTTCATAATAGATTTTCTATAAACACTTACCTAATCAAAGAAGACTACCTGATTATGCTATTGCTAAAGCAGAAACCTTGTTAGGTTTGAAAGCTAACAAAAAATTACTTCAACGAGAATTGTTAAATGAGACTGGGAAAATGATAACGCTCCGAGATTTATCAAATATTGCTGCTTCTGCACACAAAAGTGACACCCGAAATGATATAACAGCCTTTATTACAACTTTAAAGGAAAAATATAGTAAGAAAGTTATCAAGTTATTTTGTCTTCTGTAAAGTAAAGTATTAATTTAACTTTTGATAATTCAATTTCCATTACTCTTTTTTTTTTTAAATGTTAAAAATAAATATTTCTTAAATATAAGTTCATCATTTATTTATTGTAATTACTTTTTAATGAATTTTGAAAAAATTCATGTTTGACAAGTTTCATGTACAGGTATAGTGCCCTTAAAAAGATAGTGCCCATAAAAAGACAAAATAATTATATTGCTGATAACTATTGTTAATCAAAACTAAAAAAAATTTGGATATTCCAAAATATGAACCACCCATATAACCTTTAGAAAAAAGTTAGGTTATAGTGCAGAAGTTCAAAAGTTGTTCTTATGTTGTCTCAGAAGATAATTTTTTAAATATAGGGTCCTTATTAGGAAAGCTACGAATAGGGTCCTTATCAGAAAAGTAATTACTTTTTAATAGTTCGATACAAACAGTTTTGACTGCTTAAAAAGTGCTTTGAAAATGGTAGTATTTTTGTCTTTTTATGGGCACCGTTTATTTTAAACTTTTTTTTTTTTTTTTCAAAAATAAAAACTTCAAAATAACAAGCAAAACTCTGCTTTTAACACTGCTATTCTATCAGCCTAATGGAATTTATTGAGAATCTTTAATACTGTCTTTTTCATTGTCAGACTTTCTAAATAACTTCTAAAATACGGCAGTTATTTTTTTTGTTGTAAATTTAGGTAAAATTGTACCAATTTCATAACAATTTGACACATAGGGCATTGTTTAAGTTTTCAGCTTTGCAAATGCTTCTGTCTGAAACGCATTTTGCATCTATACAACAACTTTGTTTCTTCTCTCCTTCTCTTCTTCTCAACTTTTTTCTTTCTTTGTGTTCTTTCTCCTGTGGTTTTTTCTCCTTTAAGTTGTTAATAGACTCTACAAGCTTTAGCACATCTGATCTTCCATGGAGCCATAGACTTGGGTTACTCTTGTAGTTGCTTTTTGCATATTATTACTTTTTGCTGACTTAAGATTAATGGTTTTTTCAAGTAAGCTCCTAATCATTGTTTGTAGTGACAAACATTTTTCTTTCCAGTTTGAAGCTTTTTTTTTTTAATATATTTGGCTATTTTTTTGTTTTATAGGTATAACGAAACTTATTTTGCCATTTACAACTGATGAAATATCAGTAACATTAAATAAAGCATCTGATAAACACACTGTTGTATGTTGTTAAGGTTTTTTTTTCATATTTTATTTTTTAAAACTTGCTCTAATACCATTATAATTTTTTGGAATTTATCTATTTGCATAAATGCAATGTTGAGGCTTTCACTATTAATAATGATCTTTATTCCAGCTTTTCGTATCGACTCTGATGTGGCCCACTTCTCCCACATACTTGCAAAAGATTACATAAAAGCCGCTATTAATTGTTTGATTTTGAAAACAAATTTTCTTTTGTATTTTCATTATTTTTATGAAGCCATTTGTTGATTTGATCAAGAAGTTGCGTTACCCAGTAGTGTCTAGAGGTGATATATACAAATGTATTTTTTTTTCTCTCAGTAAAACAGGGCAAAGTATGTCTTTTGCAATAACGTGCTTATCAAATAATTTATAAAGTGTAAGTATGGATTTGTGATCTTGTGATCCATTCTCTGTTATCGAAATCAATAAGTTTGAAATACTTCGAACAGTATCTTGTGGAGCCATTTGACTAGTATTTCCTTAAGTACCAAATATTACATGGCAGGTGCATTTTTCATCTAAGTAATAGATTAAGCATAGAAAATTTATCTGAAATTTCAAAATATAAATTACATTTCTTGTCTTAAAATATATCTATTTTTAAATTTATCATTTTTTTACTTTTGTTATTGACATATTTGTTATTGCCTAAATTAGAGCAGGCCATTTCACGGGTACAATCAGTATTATAATACAGTATTATATAAACAATTTACACGATAGAGCACTGTATTTATTTTTGATGTTCTTTTTTCTGTAAATTTGTTTTAAACTGACATGGACACAGAAACTTACAGTTTCTATATTGAATAATACAATAGAATTCTTCCTTTTATCTTTTTGTAAGCATGATCTTGAATTTTTTACACATCCATAATAAGGTTTTTTAGTTTTTTTCTGTTCATACCTTATTTATTTCAATTTTTACATCGCACATACTCAACCTTAATATCTTCTTCTTCAGTGGTTAGTATCGTTACGTGTTTTATTTCATTTCCTGTAAAACTAGGTTATCTAATTGCTTATCAATCACAATTTTGTTTTGTATTAACCTAAACTGACCTGCAGAATATCCTTGTTTTCCATTAATTTCGCACCATTATACAGCTTTGTTTAACTGTTTGTTTCTTTTATCTCGGATAAATTGCTTTACAGTTGCTTCAGATTTATTCCTTGACTTTTTAAATACAGAGTTTGCATTTGCAGCTACACTTAAGCTATATTGTTGTTTCATTTTTTTTTTTTTGTAATTAAAACATTTTAAACTATTAAAACAGTACAAATAAAGTAATGTAAAAACACAAAACAGCAATTTTCTTATTTTTAAGTCTTTTTTTAAAGTTGCAAAACAAGAAGTAGGTGTTAAAAGAAATTGAACAGTTATATGAGTTACTACTATCTTTCAAAATAAACTTTAAGATATAAAGGAAAGAAAAAAATACAATATTAATAAAATAGTTTTAGAAAAAGAGTTTCTTAATGCTCATTACAAAAAGCGTTATTTGGGTTATTTCATGACTTTTCTAATTATTTCAAAAAATCATTAAATAATTCCAGATTTCTTTCTATTATAAGATACCTATACTAGGCAGATAATACTATGCAAAATATCTCCCCAATTGAGTTAATCTTTAAGGAGACATCAACAATAATAAGATTGTCTTTTTAAGGGTTCAAATACAAATAAAAATATTAAAAATTTAATTACTGTTTTCAACCGCTAGGAAGGAATTATATGGCTTTAAACAAAATAAAAATAAATGAATTAAAAAAAAAAAGGCTTTCCCAAACATTTTAAGCCATTTTAAATTTGTTGTCTTTTTTAAGGGCAATATACCTGTAAAATTAAAAAAAAGTTCTTTTTTTTAAGTTTACCTGTCTGACACTTTTTCGAGTCTCAAACAGGTAGTACAGTGAAGAAAAGGATGTTTGTTTTAGGTAATGTTTTAGGTAATATTTTGAAGAATATTGGTGAGAATGAGAAGTTGATAATATGTTGAGACTTAAATTGGTATGTTGGTGTGGCTTCAGATGGTTTTGAGGCATGGTGGAAAAGGATTTAGCATCAGAAATGCTGAAGGAGAGATGTTGTTGGAATTTTCTGATACTACAGGATTGACAGTCTGTAATATATGGTTTACGAAAAAGGATTAACATAAAATAATTTATGAGTCTAATGGTTTGGAGGCACAAGTGGAATAAATCTTAATCAGAAAGCAACATAGAAAATAGACAAGCAACATAAGAATAATACCAAGTGAGGCTTGTATTCCAGAACACAAATAAATTATTTGTGACATTTTGGTGGAAAATTTGAAGAAAAGAGATCTTTGTGATTGCAGAATTTGGAAAATTTAAAGAAGATGAAATGTGTAAACATTTTGAAAAGAAAATTAAAGCAAGAAAGCAAATCAGATCAAAAAGAAATGTGGAAAGTATGTGGAAAAACATGAAGAAATGCCTTGTTGATGTAGCTGATGAAGTATGTGGAAAGAAAAAGTGGTGGAATGAAAAAGTGGCTAAAGTTAGATAAGAAAAGAGGATATTTCATAACATCTGGAAAAAGTCTGGAAATGAAGATGATAGGCTACTGTATTCTGTGGCAGAGCGCAAGTCAAAAAAAGCCATATACAAAGCTAAATTAGATGAGGAAAAATAATTAAGTAAGATGCTAATATGTGAGATGCTTAAATAGAGATGTTATTGGAGAAGGCTGTATCAAAGAGGTGGTAAAAAGTTTATAAATGAAGTTGAGGTAAAAGCAAGATAGATAAGTCATTTTAAAAAATTGCAAAATAAAGAGTTAGGATAGAAAAAGGCTCTGCTGTGTCTGCAGTGAATAAGGTTAGTAAGCCAGCAGAGCAGATAACATGAGTGAAGTGATTATTTAGTGAAGTGATTAGTGAGTAATTACCTATTAAGAAGGCTCAATTAGGTAAGGCTGCTGGTCCTTCTGGTGTATTGGCAGAGGTGTTGAAAGCTTTAGGTGATGTAGGTTTTCATTGGGTGTCTGATCTTTACAATTCGATTGTATATGAAGGTAAAATCCCAAATAATTAGAAGAAGCATTGGATGGTAAAGATTCATAAGGAAGGCGGAGACGCATTAGAATGTGGTTCTTATAGAGGAATTAAATTGCTAGACCAGGTTATGATGATTTTAGAAAAAATTATTGAAAGCAAAATAATGAGCAGTGTATTGATCAATAACATTCAGTTGGTTTGAGGCCAGGAAAAGGAATGACAGATGTCGTTTTTATTGTAAGGCCAGTTTAAAAAAGATTTTTGGAAAGGAAAAAAGATCTGTGGATGGCATTTATTGACCTAGCTTTTGACAGTGTTCTAATTGAGGTGGTGTGGTGGGTTTTAAGGTGTTTAGGTATTGAAGAATGGCTAGTGACTTTCTAATGTTATGATGTATGGCAGTGAAACATGGGCAATAAATGTTGATGATGTTCAGCGTTTAGAAAAGACAGAAAGTATGAAGATTAGATGGATGTGTAGTGTGATTCTAAAAGACCAGAAAAGCAGTGATGATCTAAAAAGAAGAAAATTATTAAAATATTTCTCATTCCTCTATGTATTCATACATATATATTGAATTTATTTGTATAATTATAGTTTATTTTCTTATCAGTATATAATATAAAATGTATTTTAGATGCTAATGTTGAAGTTTTGACAGATGCAGACAATAATTTGCAAGGGCTTTTTTTTCAAGATTTTTTTATGCACAGTGTCTACAACGCATATCCTGAGTTTTTATGCATGGATGCGACATATAAATTGTTAGAAATTCGACTGCCTGTTTATATTCTGCTATGCGAAGATGGAGCTGGTTGTTTTCAATTATTTATTAATCAAAGTTTTGATGTATATAATTAGTTAATAACCGTGAACATCATATTTAGTTATGCCTAATTTACATTCACTTTTTTGTATAGGTGAAAGTGAAATAGCTGCTGTAGGTTTGCTCACGCATGAAGATGCTGCGTCTCTTAGGTATAGTTTCTTTGCTGAGACTGCCTTTGATGTATATGCATAATAACAGGTAAAACAAATATTAAAGTAATCATACTGACATTTTATATTCTTAAATGGCATTTGAAAAATGTATATGTTACATTTATAAACCGCCACAATAATGACTAGTCAGAACAATATTTTGAAGTTGTTAAAAGACCACCTTATCTGAAGTTGTTAAAAGATCATCTTATCTTATTATGTTTTTTTTCCACTTTGAGCACTGTATATATATATATATATATATATATATATATATATATATATATATATATATATATATATATATATATATATATATATATATATATATATATATATATATATATATATATATATATATATATATATATATATATATATATATATAAATATGTGTGTATGTATTTCTCTCTTTATGATTTTTTTATTATTTGTTTTAAAGTTGGTTTGTTGAAAGATTTAAGAGTTTCAATATTGCTTGGCCAAAGACAAATGTCTTCATGACAGACAAAGACTTAACAGAAAGAGAGATTTTATGTAGTGCTTTTCCTGGGGTTTCTCTATTACTCTGCTTATTTCACACCATGAGGTAATATTAATTACCCAGAAGTGACTAGCGCTAGATTAATGGATAATGAATCCTTCTGATTTTTAACATGATTGTTAATTTTTATCTGTAAATATGGATTATATAAAATCTTATAAACTTTCTTTTTTAATTGTTTTGTTAAGCCAACATCACACTTTTGTTTACAGAACTTTCAATCGTGAGATTACAACTTCCAAACTTGGGATAACAAGCGGTGAACGGACTTCATCTTTAGAACTTATTCAGAAATTGGCTTACGCTACATCAGAAGAAGTTTATGATGAACTATATAGATTATTTATTTCATCTTCTCCAACTACTGTTGTAGATTATTTTAACAAGAACTGGCATAATATTCGTGTTGATTGGGTTCTTGGTTTAAATTTTGCTAGTGGAAATTTCATGAACAGCACCAACAACCGCCTTGAAAATTTCAATGGCAAATTAAAAGAAGTGATTGACTGCAACAGTTCCTTAGAAAATTTCCTGGATAAATTTTATGTTGTTCTAGCATCAATGCGTAATGAGAGAGATCATAAGACTATTTTTCAAATGCAAAAAGTTCTGGTTGACATGTTTGATCCCAACTCAGCAGAGGCAGCATATAAGAAAGTTCTAACATTGTATGCAGCTCAACATGTTTTAAAGCAAATGAGCTTGCGTGGAGACATTAATTTGTTACAAAGAGAAAATGAATACTTTATGGTAAACACCACTGAAGGTCTGCATACAGTCACTTGGAATTTTTGTTCATGTATGTTTAGAAAGTCAATGCACTTACCTTGTAGACATATTTTTGCTGCTCGCCAATTCCTTAGAATAAATTTATTTGATATTGACTTATGTGCTGAACGCTGGACATTAAAGTACTATCGGCAGCATCAACGAGCTTTTAATAGTCCTATAATGGCTGATGAGTTGAGATCTGTAGAGTTTCATGTAGCTCCAAAAAAAAAACTCCTTTCTCAGCATGAGAAGTTTAAACTTGCTCTACAGGAAACATCATTTCTTGCTACCCTTGTTTCTGAATCCACTGGACAGACTTTTGAACAACGTCTCAGTCTTTTACAAGCTCTAAAAAAAGGTTGGACTGATGGAAAGGTCATGTTAGTTAATGAACTTATTGATGTGGACATTTGTTCTTCAAAAACAGAAAGTACATTACCTAGTGCATTAACTATAGTTACAGAATCTCCAATAAATTCATTGGGATGTGTATGTTAATGGTGTAAACACTTCAGTAGCACCGTTAGTAGTCAGTAATAAAAATGTTTTAAGCACTAAAAAAAATGCTTCACAATTAAATACAGAGTATGCAATTGATAACGACAGCATTTTATTAGAGGAAGCTATTGAAGCTAATGAAGAGTTAACATCTGTGAAGAATTATGCAGGTGCAAGTTTAAATTGATTCTCCTATTAAATATATCTTTATTAAAATACAAATAAATCAACAAATTTAATATTTTCACACTTTAAAAACCATAAATTTCTTGTAGAGTCTCACCTGAACAGGATTCGGGTGCCGAAATATGTTTCTCGATGTGGACGACCTAAAGGTTCTACTCTGACCACTATTGGTTTGCCAAAAAAGCGACAACCTAATTTGTATGAAAAAAGAGTACCTTTTTTGAAATTACATCCATCAAAAAGACATGCTAGTATGTATAAAAGATGCAGATGTTTTTTTTATTAGTATTTCTATAATATAATGTACTTGTTAATTAATCATTTTTAACTAACCAAATATTAAAACTTTGTATTTAGTGATGCTGGGTTGGTTTTTAAAACCAGATGATGTCCATAAAGCTCTTTCTGGAATTCTCATTGAAAGTAATTGTATTGAAAAAAGAGTCAATCATATCTCATCTGCTATTCTTGATGAAAGTGCTGGAGGAGCTCTTTTGTCGCTACAAGGGTATTTTACCCCAGATGGATGGAAAGTGCTCCATGAACTAATTGATACCAAATCTCGTCAAAAAGTTTGGCCTTGTGCTGTGTGCCAAAAAAGCACTTGCTTGGGTAATGACATTGGGGACTCAGTAGGATGTGATTCATGCCTTTTGTGGTTTCACAAAAAATGTTTTGGTCAGAAAGAAGGAAATCTTCTAAAATCAAAATACTGGTTTTGTCATTCTTGTTAGAATATTTTTTTATTAATGAAATATAGTTATACTTGACTATATTATATTTGGTATCAAGTGCTTAACTCATATGTTATAAACATCATCAGATGTTTTATTTTACTATTATATTTTAAGTCTAATGGATTTTTTACACATTGATAGTTACAAATTGTGTATTGAGAGCCCTCAGGTTGTATGTTAATTTACAGGTTTTTCAGGTCAACTGCTTCCTTCATTTATTCCTTAATCTTAAACTCAACTAAATTTTTGTAATCTAAATATAAGTAGACCCCTTAAGATTTAACACCAGCGCGAAAACAAAATACAGAAAAAGTAAAGCTAGAATTATTGGAATCACTAGAATTTTTAGAGCTTTAGATAGTTTAGAGTTTTTTAACAACAAACAATTTTCACTGAAATTTTTGAGCTTTATATAGTTTAGAGTTTTTTAACAACAAACAATTTTCACTGAAATTTTTAGGCCTTTATATAGTTTAGAGTTTTTTAAAACAAATAATTTTCACTCTTAGAGCTTTATATAGTTTAGAGTTTTTAACAACAAATAATTATCACAAAAATTTTTAGGCCTTTATATAGTTTAGAGTTTTTTAAAACATATAATTTTCACTCTTAGAGCTTTATATAGTTTAGAGTTTTTAACAACAAATAATTTTCACTGAACTTTTTAGACCTTTATATAGTTTAGAGTTTTTTAACAACAGACAATTTCTACTGACATTTTTAGAGCTTTGTATAGTTTAGAGTTTTTTAGTAACAAACAATTTTCACTGAAATTTTTAGAGCTTTATATAGTTTCGAGTTTTTAAGAACAAATAATTCTCATTAAAATTTTTAGAGTTTTAAATAGTTTAGAGTTTTTAACAACAAATAATTTTCACTGAAATTTTTAAAGCTTCAGATTTTTAACAACAAATAATTATCACAAAAATTTTTAGGCCTTTATATATTTTAGAGTTTTTAACAACAAATAATTTTCACTCTTAGAGCTTTATATAGTTTAGAGTTTTTAACAACAAATAATTTTCACTGAAACTTTTAGAGCTTCAGAAAAAACTTTTAGAGTTTTTAACGAAAAATAATTTGCACAGAATTTTTTAGAGTTTCGATAGTTTAATATTTTTAACAACAAATAGATTTTACTGAAATTTTTAGAGGTTTAGATAATTTAGAGTTTTTAACAAAAATAATTTACACTGAAATTTTTAGAGCTTTAGATAAAAACAAATAATTTAACTGGAGCTATAAAGTTTTTAAATAGTTCAGAGTTTTTTCTTTTCTTTTTTAGCCGAAAATAATTTTAACTAGAATTTTTAGAGCTTCAGATTTTTTAGATTTTAGATTTAGATTTAGAGTTTCATGTTTTATTTTCCAAAGTTCATGAGTAAGTAAAACAAGTGAAACTTTCAAAGTAAAATAGTTGTCATTTTATTCTTAAATCTTATTTAAAGATAGGTAAATAATTTATTTTATGGTTACAACTTCCATAAAAAAAATTTATATATAATTTTAGAATTTTTTGAACTTAACATAATTTTTAATCGGAAGTTTAAATTTGTTATAGTATTATTATTTTGTTACAAGTAAAAACAAGTATATTTTATTATATTCTTTTTTTCCTTTTTCTCTAGTTCTTCTGATTCCAGTTTGAGTTGGCTTTCTGTTGAAACATGGTTTAATTTAGTAAATTTTCATTACTTGAAATTTACCAAGTTAATCATAAGCTAACAGTTACAGAAAATTTGAACTAAACAATATTAAGGTAAGAAGTTTAGTTTACTGTTAATATTACAAAGTATATTCTTACTGGTAATTTTATTAATTCTTTTTTGTATAATGAGAATGTTTTTTTTATGACACCACTCTTTTTTAAATTTGCCTATTTTTACACAATTATTTGAATGTAGCCAGTGTCATCTCCAGGCTGATTTTCATACCAGTATCTGGCATTTAAATGTTTCATCTAAACTCCAGTTTGTATTAGTTAATAATAAATATATTTATAAACTAAAATCATTACAAACAGTGACTGTTCTTGAATGTTTTCAGAAGCATTCAACGTATTTTATTGTGTCAAGAAGTTATTTTGGAACCAGTGACCCCAAATAACTTCTGGATAACATCACTGGTAATAGACACAAGTAAGAGGTCTTCCATAAAATACGCACACCTAAAATTTAGATCCTCCTTCGCTAAATAGTATGCATCTCACTGAGTCTGTAATTTGCTTAATGCTTGAACTAATATTTAGCCCTGTGGTAACCTGTTCTAATAGTTATCAAAATGAAGTATGAAATGATTCATAATTGAAATGCACTCAAAATCTCCTACATAATTAAACTACTTTTTATTTATATATTTAAACTAAAGTGTTTTGGAACAGTTCTATATAAGTACCTAATGTATATGTACATTATACATTTATGTACTATATACATTATTGTATTGTTAATGAACATAATACCAAATAAAATTCTACAATTACTTATTGAAAATTTTAGTGGTTCCTACAACATATAAGTATACATCAACCTCCCATATTTTTTAACAGCCTGTTACTTTATTATTATAGCATGTTACTTTATTTTTAGTTGTTCTATCAATTTTTTACTAATTGTAAAATAATTATAAATTAAAAGCAGCATTGGGGCAGTAGAGTAGCAATAGACACTCAGTATCTATTAAAAATGATAACAATTAGAATTGCTGCTTTACAATTAGGTCCTGTTCTCAGGTAGTATTTCAATTTAAGGTTCCAGTTTAAACAATTATGGTAAACTGGAATCAAAACTCACTTTGATCCAGCCAGGTATCGAACCCAGGTGGGTAACCTCGAAGCCCCAATGACATACTGCTAGACTAGCAATAATATCTTTTATAAGCTAAAATTGCCTTGGTTTTTTGTTCATAAACTAGAAAGGCATCAAACCTATCCAACTTATTTAACGAAATGCACCACGAGAAGGTAAACCATAGGACTTTGCATTCCATAATATAATTTAAAATTTTTTCGAGATTTATAACTTTTGATAGCTATAATTATTATGTATATTTTTAATTGCGTTCTATCTATTTATTATTTTTAATAACATTTTTAGCATTTGATTTAATTATTAACATTTGATTTAAGAGAGTCACTAATTTATATAAATACATAAAAACCAATTATGTGGAATATATTATGTAAGAATTTGTTACTTTTTCAAATTAAATATTAAAAAATTATAATTTTACGTAAATCTTAAAGTTTTTTAATATTTCAAACTCTGTATCCCCAGGTTCCCAATAGCATCATAACCATAACCATGTAATGGGAAAACATTGAACCTACACTGTTGGCTAATGATTAATAAAGTAAATTTCAATTCATAAAAATTTATTAAATTGAAACCATATTTCAACAGTAGTCAAATTAAACATAAAAAATGAGGTAGAGCAGAAACTCATGAATGAACTAAAAAAAAAATAATAATTTAATAAAGAAATAATTTCCAAATTGCAAAAAACAAATAATTCTTTTAAGAAAAATATAAAAAAATCAATACTAGTTTTTGTAGAACATAAAAAATAGCAAACATAGAACTTAAAAACATATATACATAACAAAATATTGATATGCGTAAATTTGGAAAAAAATTAAACATTAATATAACAGTAAAATATCTTTAAATCAGGCTAAAATAATAACGATATGTTGGACTAATAACTATACTAATTAAAGTAAGATAAACACTTTTATTTTATGTTTCTATAGAAAAAAAAAAAAGTCCTGCAACCTAAATATCAAAAGCTCTAAAAGTTCTCAACTACAGTAAAATATTTCCGATGCTTTTATATTTCACCCACGTTAATAATCCATTTTATATTGTACATATCACTTTAACAAAGCGTTTATTCTATTTTTTCCTCTACAAAGATGATGAAAATATCATAATTAAGTATATGAATATATTTTTTTAATGGAATTTTGTTTATTTGAGGCTGAAAATAATAAAAAAATATGCTTTTTTAACCTTATTTGGGTTTTTAAAATATTTGTAAGCCAGCATTTCCTGAATGCCAAAAACATCTGCTTTTGATTGGGTTTTAATTGATTTTGGCAAATTGAGAAAGACCTTGTTTTTCTACACTACAACTTGTTTGTTTTGGATTGTCAAAATAAATTTTGTTTCTGTTATTGAATTAAAGTTCTAAAGTTTACTTAAAAATTTAAATGGTTACCATATACAAAAAATTGGACCAAGTGTGGTGGTTTAATTTTTGATATTATAAATAGATTTTGAAAACTTTTTCTCAATTATATTTTGTATGAGATAGCTATTAATATATATAACCAATCGATTATATATATTGATCAATCAAATATTTGAATATAACAGTACTATAGTTCACCAGACCCTTCAAGTCTTACTCTAATTAATGTCATGATGATTAAAATCACCAATAATTACAACTTACATTTTTGGATTTTTTGGAAAAGATTACAAACACTTTATATTTAACTCAACAGAAACATCTTTTGTTGAGGTGGTAGATGGTTTGTAGGTACATCCTCCAATTAATGTTTGATGACTTCTTATTACAGATTGAACACAGATTTTGATAATTAATCGCATATTTCTTCATTGTTTACAATTTTAAATTTTTAATTTCAAATTTCTATGTTTAAGCTATAACAAATTATTAAAGTAGAATTAGTTATCCTAAATTATCCTTGTACTGAAATTTGTTAACTGAAATTTCATTTAGTTTTTATCTAAAATCGGAACTTGTTTTTACACGTGACTTTAACAACCAATAGACGCGCTTCCGGTACTATAAGAAAATTTTCTTATAGTACCGACTTTCGGTACTCTATCCACGGCGATTATTTAATGAAGAATGAGATTTCGCATAGGAATGTTCGTATGATAAAATATCAGTTAATGATTGAGCACAAACATAACATGAAATAGTATTTATCAAGTTTCTGACTATAAAACCAGAGATATATCCCAATATTGCTTCTTTGTAGCTAGACATTTGAAGTTCATCGC